ATTCTGAGCATCAATGGGGATGGAGGACTGAAGGAAGCGTCTGCGTGCCTTTGATGATTCCTTTCCAAAAGAAGACGCCTACGGGCACCCAGTCGCCATCATCCTCGGGCGGGCTGGGCGGACCGCAGCAGCATATAATATCACTGTATGTCACTGTACCACACCGCGCCGATCATGGATACTGCTACTACGCCGGCCGGAAAGGGAATCACGGCGGCGAAGCAGCAGAAAGAGGACCTTGAGTTCCTGTGGAAGTGGCGCAAGTATCTGCTGCTGCTTGCCACGCTGGTCGCCAGCGTGACCTACGCGGCCGGGCTCAACCCGCCGGGCGGCGTCAGGTCCGACGAGGTCCCGCCGCTGCCGGCGGCCTACCCGGACCGCGTCGGCGACCCGGTGCTCCTCACCACCAACGAGCGCCGCTACACCGCCTTCTTCTACTGCAACGCCGCCGCCTTCATCGCGTCCCTGGTCGTCATCATGTTCCTGCTCGACCGGCGCATCAGCGACAACAGCGTCGGCCTCACCGTGCTTCGCTCCGCCATGCTGCTCGACCTGCTTGCCCTCATGGCCGCCTTCACTGCCGGGAGCTGCCGCGACGTGGCCGCGTCCGCCTACGTCTCGGCGCTCTTCGCGCTCGTCTTCGCCTGCGTTGCCGTCCACGTCCACGTGCACAAAGCCCGGGAAAAGCAGGCGGCCGCCACATCCCTCGCGGACAAAGCTCGGGGAGAGCCGGCGGCTGCCACATCCCCCTCGGACAAAGCCCGGGGAGAGCCGGCGGCCGCCACATCCCCCATGGAGAAAGCCGGGGAAAGGCCGGCGGCCGCCGCCACATCCCGCGCGGACAAGTTCCTGCTGCTGCTCGCCACCTTCGCGACGCCGCTGACGTACGGCGCGGGGCTGGTGCCGCCGGGAGGCTTCTGGAGCCAGACCGAGGCTGGGCACCTCGCCGGCGCCCCGCTGCTGCACGACGGGCCCTACAAGATCCGCTACAACGTCTTCTTCTACGCCAATGCCAACTCCTTCGTGGCGTCCCTTGCCATCATCATGCTGCTGATGAGCCGGACGCTGATGAGCGGCAGCCTCGCCCGGTCGCACGCTCTGCCGGTGTGCGTCCTGGTGGAGCTGCTCGGCCTGATGGCCGCCTTCGCCGCCGGGAGCTGCAGGAGGATCGACACCACCGTGTACGTCGTGTGCCTCGCTGGCTTGGTGCTCCTCAGCATTGTGCTACAGGCGAAGGCCATGTACACGTTCGAGCAATGGCGTGCATACGTGCGCCGCGCGCTCACGTGCGCCAACTTGGAGCTAGAACAAGAGCCGGACACGCCGCCGGGTAATTCTCGAGGTGACTCCGGCGAGGTCCGTGTGGACAGGACAAGCACCATCCAAAATTGGCAGGTAGACAAGGTGGAGGAGTCACGGTCACTTCTACTCCTGCTGGCCACCCTCGCGGCGACGGTGACCTACCAGGCGGGGCTGAGCCCGCCGGGCGGCGTGTGGCCGGACAACCACGACCCGGGGCATCCGGATCACATCCCCGGGAACCCGATCCTCCTCGACATGCACCCCAAGAGGTACAAGGTGTTCTACTACTGCAACACGGCGGCGTTCGTGGCGTCGGTGGTCATCATCATCATCGTCCAGAGCAAGGAGCTGAGCTCGCCCGCCACCATCAGACGTGCCGCGCTCAAGACAGCCATGGTACTGAACCTATTCGGCCTCATGGGCGCCTACGTCGCCGGGAGCTTCCGGGACGCCCCCACGACCATCTACGTCTTTTCCCTGGCCGTCGCCGTCTTTGTCTACTCCATCATCAAGGTGGTGGCGTACACCCATGGACAGAGCGGGCGGATGGAGTGGATGCACCGCATGTCGGACAGGCTCGCGAAGCTGCTGCGTCTATCTGACGGCCAACCCGGGTCCGAGCCCGAGGGCAGTGAAGAAGATCGCAAAAGGCTCGAGAGGAGGCGCAAGTTCTTGCTGCAGCTTGCCATCCTCGCCGCCACCGTGACTTACCAAATCGGTCTGAACCCGCCAGGAGGGTTTTGGCCGGAGAGCAAAGGCGAGGGGTCGCTTATCGCCGGCGACCCTGTCCTCCTTGACCACTACTCGATCAGGTACCAGGTGTTCTTCTATTGCAATGCGACGGGATTCATGGCGTCCATCACCGTCATCCTCCTGCTGGTGAACCAGAGGCTGTACGAGCAGGGCATCCGGAGCAATGCGCTCCGCGTCTGCGTCATGGTCGGGCTTCTAGGTCTCATGGGAGCTTACGCAGCCGGCAGCTGCCGGCAACTGCGGACCTCCATCTATGTCTTTGCGCTCGTGGCCGCGGTGGTCACCTTCCTCGTCCTGCAGACCCTACTTTTCGTGTCGGCGGGGAGAGTCAATTGTTCAAAGTTGCCGCCATGGCTTCCCGAGCGGCTAAAGCGGTTGTTCGAGCCCCTAGGATCATCGCCGTCATGGCTGTCCACCCGAAACAAAGGTGATGATGAACAGTACGCGAAACGCAAGTACCTGATGCTGCTCGGCATCCTTGGAGCGAGCGTGACGTACCAGGCGGGTCTCGCGCCTCCTGGCGGCACATGGGGCGACGACGATACCGTGTCGTCCTCATCGCCGTCGCCGCCCCCATCAGCAAGCCCACCCAACGTCGCCGGCAACCCGATCCTGCTTCACTCCAACCCGGCACGGTACCAGGCCTTCTTCTACTGCAACGCGACGTCGTTCATGGCCTCCATCGTCGTCATCATGCTGCTGCTGCTGCAGTACACCGTGAAGAAGCAATACGCCGTGAAGAAGAGCGCCGCGCCGCTGTGGGCGCTGCAGGCCGCTGTGGTGTTGGACCTGTTCGGCCTGCTAGGCGCCTACACCGCCGGCAGCTGCAGGGACTGGGAGACATCCGCGTGCGTCATCGCGCTCGTCGGCGCCGTGGTCGTCTTCATCACGATCTATGCGCTGCTGTCGTTCGAGGCCGTGCGAGGGAAGGTAAAGGAGCTCCCGGTGTGCAAGTACTTTTCTAACATGATGGAGAAACGGGTGTGGAAGCCCTTGGGAGTTAGCAATGGTGACGATGATCAGTCGGCCGCAATCGGTAGCAGCGTGTAATCAATTGATTCTTCTTGTTTATTACATTCCCTTGATTTGTTATTTCTTACTATTTGTCAGCATAACAATGCAGATGAACCAACAACTTTGTATGGTTCATGTTACATCTAATGTAGTCCTGATAAATAGACAAACCAAAACAGAGCATGTATTTTTGCCAAATGAACTAGTTTCACAGGAAACTATGTGCTGAGAATTTTTAGCTCCACATGGAAGCTCGCATAGGTTATGATATGAATGAAATAGCACAGGATACAATCCTCACAGATATCAATGGGTGCATCCATGCTGGATGAACCCGATTGAACAACTGCACAGCTCTTTTCACCCTGCGGACAGAGCTGGGGCTGGAAGGCCATCCATCTCACTACTCACTAGTCAGTAGAACAATACTTAAGCAAAAACATGCAGAAGTTCAGAAAGACTCAAACACTGGAATGCAAGGGGGTGATGATGCTAGGATAGAAGTAATTGTCAAACCAAACAGGGCCCAGTAATCTCCCTCCTAATGCGACGGTGGCAGTCTGGCAGAACTAACTGGTCCAAGTGGCAAGAAATATGAAGCACTAATAATGCATAACAGGAGATAGATAGTGTATCACCCTTCACACACGCAGCCTGGAGATTATTTATGCCAGATGTTCGACCCGACATTTCTTTAGTTTTGTGGACTTTCTTTTTCATTTTTCACACTGAACATTTTCTAATAATTAACACCCACCTATATGAGTATGTTTACATTTTTAAAGCTGAAAGTTGCGACATATTTCTACATGAGAATGCTCTCCTGAATATGCACAGGGTGATTGTCCATGACAAATTTTAGATTAAAAAATATTTAATGTCAGTAACAGTTGTCAGTGACCCAATATTAGCATTTTGCAGATAATTTGCGTTTAACAACTTTAGCAGTTGCCCAATTGTGTGCTCACTATTGTCAGACGAATCAACAGAAATTCATTGACTCTTCAAATCCATAACTCACAAGTCAAGAACCACATAACATATCTCTTACGTTCTATTTTTGTACAAATGAGTTCAAAATAGATATCTTCACTTGCCTTCTTTACACTGTTCAAGAAGGACCAACACACTAAGCAGGCAGCAGCCCTGTACCTAGGGCTTCTAGATGACTTACTTATTTGTCCTGATCTCATCCATTTGTCATGCATTATGCTAGCTAGGCAAGGCCGAAACTAGGCTGCCTTTTAGAACATTTTATCTTTCAGGAAATTAGACAAAATCATGTACACTACTCACTTATCCTTAGACTTATTAGAACGGACCATGTACACTATTCTTACACTTGTACGGTAGTATCATAACTGATTTATGGGGAGTATCATACATGCCACTCCGACTTTGTGAAATTTTAAATCTGCCATCTAAGCTAGCATGTAGTTATGTATTTGCCATCAGAAACAAACATTAATGTTGCTTGATGGCACTTGCAATGGACAATGCTAGGAAAGGATAACAACCCATGTTTGATGATTACTCAATGGTGACGACTTGATTTGGTAAACACAAAAATTGCGACCAGAGCATTAGCCTACACAAGCCCTTATCTGCCCGTGCTCACAAGCCCTTGGCTCCAACCAGGCTATGCCATCAAATAAGGGTATAGTAGTGTTTTGTGCCAATTAGAGTTTAACGTGGCATTGAACAAAACTTATATATTCTTCCAATGGCAAACACAATATGATGCAAACTCAAGTGACAAAAGTACACAAATTAGCAAACTGTGTATAAAATATATTCTCCAGTGAAGTATTGGGTCAATTGAACATGAAGTTTGAGACAAACCCACCTAAGTTTTCAGTCAATTGAACATGAAGCTTGAGATTGAAATGATAAAGCATTGGTACCTAGATTAAGATTACCACATATCACAAACTGGTTATTAGAGATGTTCTGAAATTGCACAAATACAGCAAACAGAAAATGGATCTTCATAGCAACAGCTTAGTATCATTCGAAATAGATAGTCCTCAGATCACCAACTGAAATTTGAGTGCAACCCAACATCCTATGGTAACATAACTTAAATTGTACACTAGAGTCATCAGCAACAGCTTAGCATCCTCAGATCTGACGACGGATCTGGGCATAACGAAGTGGGGAGATGATTTTTCGGCCTCACCATAGGTACCCGGGTATCTTGATGCGGAGGAAGAGCATGGCCATGGCGTAGGCGATGACGATGGCGGCGACGCCGGCGCCGCCGAAGGAGACGCGCAGGCTGCGGGGCCTGGTGCGGTCGACGGCCAGGTCGAGGAGGATGACCCCGACGCCCCCGAGGAGGAACATGAAGCCGGAGGAGAGGCCCTCGATGATGTACTGGCCGTTGACGCGGCCGGGGAGGAAGACGACGGGGCGGACGGCGCCGGTGGCCGGGTCCTGGGAGCTGCCGATGCCGGGGGGCTCGACGATGACGTCGTAGACGAGGCCGGAGACGACGGCAAAGTAGGTGAGCAGGATGAGCGAGAAGACGACCATCGGGGACGGGAGCGCCAGGTTGGACGGCAGCTTCAGGCGGGTGCGCGGCGGCTGGAGGAAGGCGAAGGGGACCACGCGGAGCGCGTGGAAGAAGGGGTCCATGGAGTCGAACCCGGATCCGTGGCTCTGGGCGGCGGCCGCCGCCGCCGCCGCTGTCGCCGAGGCGCTCCCGCCGGCGTGCTCCGATCTGGGGGCCATGGAGACTTGGGGGATTTGGGTCTGGTGAGTGCGGGGATGGCCAGTGGGGGGATGAAGCCGGATCGCACATACCCCGTATTGTTTTTTTTAGGGACGGATCGCACATATCTTAAAGCAAAACACAATCTTAGAGCAGAGGTGACTACAAAAGGAGAAAAGTGTTTTTTTAGTGCTTATTATACATACGCACGTACACTCGCCCTTATAAGGGCAATGCCCAGCGCTGGACCGGTGCCGCAGCCTCCACGTAGGTTTAGATGGTCCATGAACCGCTTAGTATGCAGCTTGCAGAGAAAAGCGGATGCTTGCAGAGGAGACTCCCTCCTCCCCGACAGAAAAGCAAAGAAGAAGGAGATGCAAGAGAGAGCACTCGAAAAGAAAGAAAGATGAGCAGCACAGCATGCACTCTAGCTCGTAGGATTGGTTGTGATTCAGTAAAGCAAGAGAGAGAAATACAAGAAGAGGGAGAAGGTGGGTCCGTTGAGGTCAGGGTGTGCGTTTGGTTTCTTTGGTTTGATTCGGTTCGGTTTATACGGTTTTTATACTTTGATTTATATGATTTTATACATATTTATGGTGCGGTTTCGGTAATAATCAAATTAACCATAGTTGGCGCGAATTTTTGAGCAACACAATGTTTGGGCACATGACACAGACATGAAATTTATTCAATGTGACACGTACATGACAATACATGGCCTCGATGTCCTGTATCAAGAGCCTCAAAGTCAAAGGCCAAAGCCTACTCCATGGTGAAACTGCTCTTTTACTTCCTTTTTTATATCTATATATCTATATCTAATATTAAAGGATGGAAGCTTTCATAGTTCTCCATATGTCATCCCGTTTATATTCGTTAATTTTATTTTAACTATAAAGATTGATGGCTGAGATCTCTTCTATTTTTTCTTATCAAAAAGGTAAGCTTTCCGTTCCACTCTTTTAATTGATCACATCAGACCTAGCAATCAATTTGTTTTTTGGAATCCTAGCGATCGATCTCTTCCTGTCCTAGCGATCTATTTTCTCTCCTATCTAAAAAAGGTAGCGTCTCTGATTGAAGCCGGACTGGATCGATCTCTTTTTTTTTTGCCTAAAAAGAAAAGAACAACGATCTCTCCATCTCGTCAAGCTGTCCTTCGCTAATTGCTAGCGATGCTGGCCCAGGTAAACTCGTTAGGGGCAAGCCCAGTCATCCAGCCCACATGTTTGATTTTGACATATTGGGCAACCGTTCCAATCCTAAGAGACACTAAAAAAATACAAAAATTCAATTTATACTTCTATATGGCAAGACGCGCACAACTGGCTATGAAATCAATCTTTTTTCCAAAAAAGAAGTAGAGCGTTCACACACGTACAGTTTTGGTGGGCTTTTCTTGGGCTAGCTTTGCACGTAACATGTGTCAATCGTGAGGATCTAATCTTGTGAACCAGGGCTAGCACCACCTCTCGGCTTTTCTCTTTCTCTTGGCGGCTCCGGCGGCTCTCTGGATAGCTGTATCATCGAGCCGGCGTGGATTATTTATAGCTGCAAGGGCACATCAACGACATGACGGACGACGACTATTTGCAAGATAAACGAAGGCGCTCTATTTGTTTATTACTTTTTATTTATGAAGTGTGATTGCCCTCCGTACAATACATCTTCATATAACGCGGTGTCCATTGATTACATGTCTCATTATCTACGTAATGCAAGGTAAGGAGCGGCGTGCCATTTGTGTGTTGTTTTTTATGAAGTGTGATTGCCCTTCGTACAATACATCTTCACATGACACAATGTCCATTGAATACATGCCTCATTACCTTAAGTTAATCTTGTATATGCGTCTGACTCTGTCTGACTCTCTCCTCAACTCTAACCCTAAGAGCAAGGCCAGCCTCGCACACTTCCTCTGTCCTTTAGCCACCTCTTCACTGCAACTTTGTGCCTCGGATTCGATGACAACAACGAGCAAAATGAGGATGACATCTACGGGGGCAACTAAGATGAGAGAGTGAAAGAGATAGATGGCAGGAAGGGGTAGAGCAGCCGTCAAATGCCATGTCTTCATCCTTTACCGCATCCCCATCCTCGTAGCCATCACCGAGTCATGTGCTAGAGGAGGTCGTGCGGGTTGAGATAAGCGAGAATTGAGTCGTCATCTTGTTGAGCCCATCTACAACATATATGTGGTTCATCATGTAGCCTCATGTCCACACTGGGAGCCGTGTCAACCAATTAGTGCCCTTAATGATGCAAAACTCTCATGGGCACCACCGGGCAGAAGCCCGCTTTGCTCGACCATCTAGCGCTTGTCATCAATGCTTAAGCTGTTGGACCCGGAGTCTCTGGTGTCACATGATGGATGGCCTGTTATGCTTTTACTCCCGTTGCAACGCACGGGCATGTTTCCTAGTTTATTATAACCAACATAAAGTAGCACACGTTTGTCCATGTGTAGTGTACTGTGTAGGCCTTGAAAGTTTGATCAGACTCACACGCACACAATTTCTAGCATCACAGCCCAATACTTGTTGATCCATCGGCCCATGTAAGTAGAAGTACAACACAGCAACGGCGAGAGGCGCTGGCGCCGTGGCGCGCAGGCAATTCATGCACTAGTTTAGTACCACCTCGTGTAGCTACAAGAAATAAAGGAAGGTGAGTAGTATAAGGCTAGCAGGTGTCCGTTCATTGTGCTCAATCCGACAAGTGTGCAGCGCACTGTGTAGGAGTTTCTTCTCTGTACTCTCCAGTACGAGAGAATTTTTCTTTATTTCTTCGGCTTAACCATATGGTTTTCGGTTATTAACCGAAAAAAACAAATTGAATATGGTTTGCTATTTTGCAAACTGAAACCATAAACAGAACTTGAAAAAATTGAAATTCTGGTTTGGTTTAGTTTTTTTGGTTAGTTTTTTTGGTTCGTTTTATGGTTTTCGGTTTGGTTTTGCACAGGGTGACGTTGAGGCTATCATGGCATTGGGTACTAGAGTTTGAGATGGTGACACAATTGTGAAGGAGCATGGTAAGAGAAAGGAGGAGGAGGAAAAGAACTGGTGCCATTTCAAATATGAGTACTTACCGGACTTTTGTTTCACGTGTGGAATTATGGGTCATACTGACCGAGAATGCAAGAAGAAGTTGAAGAAGGGGGAGGAGGCACAGTATGGACGTTGGATGCGGTATGTACCAGATGGCAATACTAACCTAGGTGAGAGAAGAAGGGGAGGAGGAGAGTTTGGGGGTGGTTTCACAAGGAGGTACGGTGGGTCAAGCAATGGGAGCAAATCTGGGAGTGATGGACCGTCATGGAGGAGGGACAGGCAACTGTCTATAGGTGGAAAGGAGAAGGGTAAAGTTGATACTGAAGGTGAAGTTACTAGCCCTCTAAAACTGAAGCAGGCAATGGAGGATGAGAAAGATAGGGAAGCGGAGGGGGGAGCAAAAAAAGCCCTATTCACTGGGGGTGAGAAGGCAGAGACCCTGTCACAGAAGCAGGATGGAGTCAAGGAGGGTGTG